CTAAAACTGATACCCCGTTCTAGAAATGGGCCAATTTTTTATACTCCGTTCTAAGGTGCAAAGAGTACAACAGTTTGCTTGTTAACGCAATGAACCATATTTTTAAAAGCAATCTGTCCTTGAATAATTTCAAATGGCTGCTTACAAAACTGGAGCTTTCGTGCGTTCGAAATATTATAGCCCCTTGGAGTGTTCTCCTCAGAAACAGAATGGCTGAATGCGTCTTCTTTTGCCTATTGTTTAACAAATGTATAACAAAACAATTATTGAATTCGGTTTTCGCATGATATCATGAATTACCAAAACCTCGTGTCTGTATTATCTGCTGAAGCCAAACACAGACCTCGGTTTTGATAATTCATGATATCATGCTCAACCTCATCCAATAATTGTTTAATATGCATGGTATGTGGCCGCGAGGGCCCTGGTGTTGAGTTTAAGGTCTGTCTGATATCATGGTAATCACGTGAAAGCACATGCAAGTGATGCAACAATCATTATCGCAAGCACACGTAATTCAGGTACACAAGTACTGTACTAAATGGGAGACTTTTCAATTTGCCTTGCCAGCCTGGAATCTATTTACTAAGGAAATTAAAAATGAAAGTTGAGCCTGATCTCAGCTTAGTGCAGGACAAGTTTTTGGTAAAATATGAGTGCATGCTAGCAAAGTCTAGAAATCGATATAAATTAAGCTTAGGTACTCAGGTTTCACCACAGTACTTGTTTTTTATATTTTTATACATTTCCAAGCATGTTAGGACGCTTGTCATCCAAAAGCTTCAATAAGCTTTATAAACTTCAGTGGTAATTTAAGCTGTTTCATTATTTGTATTTCATATCAATGGCCTTTGGTCATTGAACACGGATTCAATATTCAATTGAATTATAAGACTTCGTGCATGACTGTACACAAGCATTACTTGTGTCACGCATGGGTGTGACAAAAACTAAGACACTCGAAAACTAAGACCTAAGACCCGTCTTAGTTTTTGAGATTACGAAAACTAAACCCCCTAAAATCGAATTCGTCTGAATATGAAGTAAAATTGTAACCAAAATAGGTCTAATCTGTCAAATTATCTTCAGCTTGATTCTTTCCACCGAGTTTTAGGTCGAGTTTAACGGTAAATTCAGGGGTCTTAGTTTTCGTAATTTTGAAAACAAAGACCCCTCATAGTTTTCGTTACATTAAGAAAACTAAGACCCCCTTAACCCATTCGCTCCTGGAGATTTTGCCGAAAAACGCGTTTTGAAGCTAGTCGAGTGGTTTTCTGGTCACTGTCGTGCTATAAAGAGCTAAAACTTACCACAAACCGGTTTACAGGTCGTACACTTGGCGGCCTTCTGATCCAGATGCAAAATATGAGCTTGCGAAGTTCGGGCATGCGCAGAAAGCAAAATTTCGAGACTTTTCGCTTTCTCTCCTCCCTTCTTTTTTCGCTTTTCTTGCCTCATTTTTTTTTCTCTTGCTGGGCATTTAGTAGGCTTCATTTTGGTGGGAAGAGTTTTTAGGAAAGCTTTTAGGATCTTAGGATTAGGTGAAAGGAAAGGTAGGTGGGTAATGGAACAAGATTTTCATGGAGGTTTTCAGGTCCTTGTCACGTGGTTTTTTGCTTCTTTCTCCGGTGTCCTTGACTGAATTGTGCTCATTCTGGTATGGTTTGAAAGATCTCTTCACTCTGCACAAGTTAGCGAAGAAAGTTGTCCTTGACCGTTAAAACTGATGACGTCACAAAGGGTAGAAAGGACCTGGATCCGCACGGGCGGTTACGGGCGGTTCAGGGGCGAATGGGTTAAAAACTAAATCCTAAAATATATATCAAGTCGAACCACCGTTCAAAGACTATAATCCATAAAACAACCAACAACTATCATCAGGGTGCTGACGATCCGAGGATAAAAACCCATAGACTACCTGACTACACTGAAAAAAATTATAAAAATTATCTCACACCCAAAATTTGAGAGGAAACGCATTTAAGGGAGATATTTTATGGCACTTTGATTTTTCAACAAAGTAGTATGATTTGTATTGGCTGCCATGTTGGAGGGCATACTCTTGCCCTCCAACATGGCGGTCAAAACTACTTTTTGCTTATATCTTGTTAAATGTTTGATAGTTACGCTAAGTGCTGTAAACGTTACCACATCATCTTTTTAACATTTTCTTTGAAGTTTAAGTGCAAAATTGAAAGAGTTAATTCCTAATTTTAAAAATCACATTTTGTTCACATGACCAGCTACGAACTTACTCAATTTAAGAAAATGGTGCGGGTGAGAAAAATCAAATCACTATTATATTGTTTAAGATATGACCCACTAATCGTTTTTCGACAGAAAAATCATATAACTTTCATTTTCATAAAAACGATGTCACATGACCTCTTAGTGCAAATGGCCTATTCTGCGACCGTGATTGCGTTACCTGAATATCACCCAAGAGGTGTTTTGTTCTGATTGACTGTTTATTTTTTTTTTCTGAAATTAAAACGCACAATTTTCGAGATGATTCCTTGCTAGTACAGAAAATAAATTCATTCATTTTTTATTTAATGAGTGATTTTAGCAAGTATATATCCCTCACAGACTATTTCTCCTTCCCCCACCCTACCCCTCAATTCAGGCCCTTACATTGTAACTTTTCACCTGGTTTCTGGTGATCTCAGTGGTGGCCACAATAAAAATAAACTCTTGAAAAATGCAATTAGCTTATACTCTTTTTTCCCACCCTTTTAAGAAAGCATTTTCTGGCTATGGCTTGGCAAGAAAAGGAAAAAAACATATTTTTGTGTGATGTTTAATTTATTTTGGTTACAATTTGACTTCACATTTTGACAGATTTGATTTTAGGGGGTCTTAGTTTTTGTAACACCCTGTCACACATTACTGGTTCAATGTATCTTTGCTGGCGAATACAAATGTCTCTCCTCGCTCCTTACCATTCGGGGAGCAACTGTGAATAAAATCGTTAAATTAAATATGAGTCTTGTTTTCTGTGTTGTTCAATCCAGTTTTCATGATCTACAGTGATTTCTTTTGTTGACACTACAACTAAAAGGCATTCACCTGCATTTGAAAGCAGTTTTGCCCGCACTTCCTAGCCAATGGCTACTGTTAGTAAAATACAGTAAACACCAGTGCTGTCAACTCGAATAATCCGGGAGATTCCAGATTTTGGACCGTATATCTCCCAGTCTCCAGATTAGAGACTGATATCTCCCCATAATTGCCAAAGTTGCAATTTCTTGTAGACTCGACTTTCCGACCATAAATTTCAAATATTTTACGTTGTTTGAGCTACTGTCAACATGGAATGTTTCGTCATAAATTCTGGTATTCCACTGTAATTTAAGCAATAAGGTTTAAGCAATAATGCTATATACGTCGATCGGAATCAACAAGCATTTTGGCACAAATGACGTCATTTGCCGTGCAATATGACATCATCGATCTATCATTCCTTCCCTATTCAATTCTCAATATTTGATGACGTGGGGGGTTGACAGCCCTGAAACACCCACATATAAGAACCTGTGGATTAAGAACCTCCTGGCCGAAATTTGCCACTTTACTACCCAAAAATACAAGAACTTGCATGTTTAGCCAAACAAGATCAAGCAGGTTCTTATTTGTGGGTTAAAGTGATAACAATCAACCAACAAGTGTAACTTTGAGATTGTAAATTGAACTGTAATGAGAACATACTGTACCAAACTGCGTATAAATGTGGTAATCAATTTTGTCAGGGTATTATAATAATACAATAAATATTATTGTGAATACTGATAAACGCTGTCTTTTAAGGAACAAACCCAGCTTTCTTTATTTTTCTGCTAATCAACAATCTATTATCTCCTTCATAAAAATTAAGAACCCAATTAAGAACCTACTTAGCCTAAATTGCTAATAAGTACTCCAAAATACAAGAACCTATTTTGCCAGACTTCAAGAAAAGTAAGTTCTTATATGCGGGTTTTTACTACAGTACACTTTTAATTTTGACTTAGGGGTGGAGACGGCTGACATTTCATACTAATGGGAGCACAGACTGAACTCAAAGTGCAATAGACCTTGTCACGGTTTTCGACGCCATCTTGACGAGAAGGCAAGCGCGTGAGAAATTACAGTGACTGTATGAGAATCCAATGTCGAATAATTTCCCTAGAACGGCTGTTCTGAAAAAATATGATTTGTAAACTAAAGCTTCACTCCTAAGGATTCTCCTGAAAAAATTTGAGGGCGTTACATGCACTAGGAGACCTAGAACCACTTTTTAAAATTTTCTATACATTTGTCTGTAAGAAAGTCCCGGGAAAATTGTTAATTAAACGAGACTTACCTGTAAGTCGTGGTTTGATTGAGATTCTACCGTAGCATTTGCAGGAATGAGGAGGTCACGTGAGATAGCAAGTATGCGATATCCGAGCTCAGTCTTAAAAGCGGTTTTGTGGGGCTTTGACAAAGCAGGAATGAGAGGTCACCAACAATAGGGATGGGGTAGGGCGGGATGTGACCTCCTCATTCCTGCAAATGCTACGGTAGAATCTCAATCAAACCACGACTTACAGGTAAGTCTCGTTTAATTAACAATTCTACCTCGCATTTGCATACAATCGGAGGTCACGTGAGATTTTAAAGCTCAAAGCCACAGAAAACTCAGACAACAAAAAATGGTGAATGAACACAACATAATGTGTATTTGTAATAGGCCTCTTACATGATAGTAGTAAATACTGCAACAACAACTGATATCGATATAAGGCATTGTATGAATATGCACTGGCTCAAAGAAGGGAGTTATTTGAGATTACAATATATTATTTCTTATCTCCCAGAATTGCTGCAGCAAAGTTGTTTGCAGTGAGGACAGGGCGATCATAGAATTTGGCAAAAGTAGAATCAGAACGCCATCCAGCAGTGTTCATTATAACCTGAACAGGAACATTCAATGCTTTAGCTGCTGAAGTAGAGGCACCCCTAGTGCTGTGGGGTTTGAAAACCGTAGTATCAATTCCCGCATCCTTCATGGTTTGTTTTATCCAACGTGATAGTGTGTCCCTTGAAGCTGGTCCATGAGGCTCAGCATGGCAAATAAGCAACTGCTTTGTCTCTTTCCTGAGAGGAGCGGTTCTTTTAACATAAGCTGAAAGTAGCTCCACGATACACAGTCGTTTGTCCAGGGGGTAACTATGAAAAGTAACAGGTAGTAAATGTCTGTTCTGGCCCCCTTTGGCAGTTGTTTGTTTTAAAACAGAAGAGATGCGAAAGACATACTTTCCAGGTAGGGTACTCATGTCTTCCAAGGACAAGGACTGTAAAGTCTGAACTCTCTGTGCAGACAATAGGGCCATAAGCATGACCAGTTTCAGGGTAAGCTGTTTCAGTGACATATCATCAATAGCTGGAAATGTCTTAAGGTGGTTAAGCACTATTTGGGGGTCCCAAGTCTCAGAGTAGCGTGGAAGGGCTGGCTTTTGATTAAACAGGCCAGTCATAAACCTTGACACCAAGGGGTGTTCACCCACCTTTACACCATCAACTTTAATGAAACTTGACAGCACTTCGGGCAGTTGCAACCGCACTATATCCCACACGTTTAGATTGCAGAGTAAGGAAATCAAGGACTTGCTGCAGCTTGGGATTGACTTGGCTGATGTTACAATCAGAGCAGTACTTTAACCAGGCTGTAATATATGTGCAGTATTGTTTGCGCGTTCCATCTCGCCATGACGCCGCAATGATGTCCTGAGGTTCCCCCGTTATGCCTTGAGCAGCTAAGGATGCCCTGATAAGAGACATCCATGAAGTTGAAGTTTGGGATATAATGGGTGGACTTGTTCTGGTTGATGTGGGAGAATAATGGTTTTGCGGTGCATTTTGATTGATATTGGAGGAGATTTCATCAACTGTAGGAGCTGTGGGTACCACACCTGGGTTGGCCAGTATGGGTACACAAGTATGGCTGTTGTTCTGCTTTCTTGGATAAACTGAAGGACTTTGCCTATGAGGCTGAAAGGAGGAAAACAATAGATAAGTTTATATCTGGACCAATCCAGAGTGAATGCATCAATAGCTGCTGCACCTGGATCTGGTTTCCAGGCTACATATGGAGACACTTTGTGGTTCAGCCTTGATGCAAACATGTCTATTTCAGGATCGCCCCATTTAAGTTTAAGTTCATCAAAAATGGTAGGGTCTAGGGACCATTCTGTATTACTGTTGTGTGATTCTCTGCTAGCTCTATCAGCTTCTGTATTTAATTTCCCTGGTATGTGGGAGATTGATAGTGCCAGCTGCCTCTGCATGCACCAGATGAGAATTTCCCTAGTTATATCATTGCAGTTCCTAGATTTAGAGCCACCCATACTGCGGATGTACGAGACTGCAGTTGTATTGTCACAAAGCACTTTGATGGTACAATTTGTAAGGTGACTGCAGAGTGACTGCAGTCCCAGAAGGATGGCTTTTAACTCTAGGAAATTAATATGAAGTTGGGATTCCTGGAATGACCATCTACCACTTGCAACACTTGAGGTACCCTCTATCACTGCCCCCCAGCCCGTAAGTGAGCTGTCGGTTGTCAGGGTTAGATGTGGGATTTGTGGTGTGATGGTTTGTGGATATTGGTCAACATTATTTATCCACCAAAGGAGGTCTTGTTTGCATAGGGGTGAGAGTGTTACTTTCCCCTCAAGATCCCAGCCATTTGCTTGCAGTGCATCAGTTTTGATATTCTCTAGAGATCTATAAAATAATGGCCCATAGTACACTCCTGCAAATGAGGATACCATCAAACCCACAACTGAGGCCACCTCTCGGATTTGGGCAGGACCTTGTATCTGCACAAGGCTGTGACACTTAGATCGTACAATATCAGCCTTCTCTGGGATCATGGAGATGGTCATATTCTTAGAATTCAATATGAATCCCAAAAATTTGGCTATCTGAGAGGGTGTCGTGACAGATTTAGTATCATGGATTGTGAAGCCAAGTGCCCTGAGTAGGGCAACCGTGTCAGCAACTACTTGCGATAGCTGCTCTGGTGTTTCTGCCATTAGTAATATGTCGTCTATGTAACCCACTATTAGGTATCCTTTGGATCTCAGTGTTGCATAGACTGGTTTCATAAGCTTGGTGAAGACCCTAGGGGCCGAGGCCAGGCCATTTGGCAAGCAAGTAAACTCGTAAAGGGTTCCGTTAAATTCAAACCTTAGGTATTTTCTGTGCTGGAGATTTATCGGTACAGAGTAATAAGCATCCTTGAGGTCTAGAACTGCCATCCAATAGTCCTTTTTAAGTAGTTGGGCAGCTGATTGGAGGGATTCCATTTTAAAATGCTGGTAAGTAACAAACTCATTAAGATTTTTGAGGTTCAGGATGAGTCTACGAGACCCATCTTTCTTTGGTCTTGTAAAGACCGAAGAGATGAATTCTCCATTGCAGTGTGTTGTCTTGCTCAAAACACCTTTATCAAGAAGTTTTTGAACCTCTACTGCAATAATGTGTTCATCACCTTTAGAAAATTTTATATAGGGCACATATGTTTGGTATGGTAACCGTTCAAAATCGATAAGATAGCCCGATACAATCTCAAGTATGCTTGGGTCTGAGGTAATAGACCTCCACTCAGAAAAGTGATGAGCTATGTTACCAGCAACAAAATTTTGTACAGCAGAATTTACCGTGTTAAGACCATGAGCTACTGTGATGACCTCTTGTTTGGGTTCATCTTTGAGTCTCCTTGTGACGCCAAGGTCTGAATGTTTGGCCTTTGGAGTTTTTGGATTCCGTTGAGAAAAAGTGTGTCTGTTTGTATTGCTGCTGTTGTAACCAGAAGGATTCCTCTGAGATCCTCTATGGTTTTGTACCTTTGCACCAATCTTGTTTACATCACCTATGTCCTTCAACTGCTTTTGGAGGTCGTCACCAAAAAAAAGCAGGTCTGTGAATGGTACATGAGGTGAGCAAAGGGCGGCGTAGTCTTTGCCAATGTCAGGTTTCATGAGCTGTTTTCTCTGCATGTTTAGTTCATAGTTTACATGCGTTAGTAGTGACAGGGCATCAAGCCCAAATTGCTTGATCAGCTGCATGCCCTCTTTGTCTAACCCATGCTTTTCTGACATGGTCAGGTCTGTCAACCGGGCGACCGGGATTATACCCTTAACGAGGGCTTGCTGCATCTTGTACAGTTGTAAGTCCCTCTTTTGTGTGCTCACGAAGTTTTCGCCAAATACCCGGGTTGACACGTGTGGGTTTTACAGTTTCACAGTTTTCCGGTCGAGCTTGTCGCTCGAGCTTCTCTTTAAGGACTTTGTCTGGCAAACGATTGCGAAACATCTTGCCAAGGAGCTTGGCAAATTGTGGGTTTTGAATGTTCTTCCCGATAGAGTCTTCAGACTCGTACTCTTTCTGTAGTTCTGTAAGCGTTTCATCTTCGTCCCCGTTACCGAGATCGTCAACATCGCCGGCAACTTTAGCCATGAGTGTTTGAACATCCTCGTTATCCGAGGTATTTTGCTCGCTCGAGGAGCTCGAGCATTCTTTGGCGGGCTTTTTGGCGGGAACGGCATTTTGATGTTCCTGGCTCGGTCGTTTGCCAGGGCCTTTACCCGTCGTAGAAGGCTTTTCCTCCAATTTATCGAGTCTTTTTGACACATTTAATATTGCCAGGGAAAGACTCTTAAAGTCGGCAGCGGACAGCGAAACGTTCGCGCCGCTTGTGCCAGGCTCGGCCGCCATATTTTTATCTTCTCCAGAATCTTTGAGTAATTCTCCTTCGTCCAGAACTTCATCCGATAGCGGGTCGTTGTTGAGCGCCTCGTGTTCGCCTATCTGCGACATCAGGAACGGTCGGTCAGAATAACGTCGGAAACGCAGTAAAAATCCGTAAAGAACCTCTCTCTATAAGTTACACAACTGACTCGCTCGGACACCAAACTTGCACTGAGCTCGGATATCGCATACTTGCTATCTCACGTGACCTCCGATTGTATGCAAATGCGAGGTAGAATTACAGACAAAATTATATATGGAAAATCTAATGAAAGCCTCTGGAGAAATTTAAGCACAGGTACGGCCCCAAATTTTTTTAGGACAATCCTTTGCTTTGTAGCTTTAGTTTACAATTGATAGACTCAGACTCAGACTTTTCCACACTTCCACACCTCTGGGAAGTGTAGAACTAAGTAAAGAATGACAAAGGGTTCATGACTGGGGGAAAGTGAGACAATATCCTTACTTTGTCGGACTTTTCCACACTTCCACACCTCTGAGAAGTGTAGAACTAAGTAAAGAATGACAAGGGGTTCTTAACAGGGGGAAAAGTGCGACAATATCCTTACTTTGTCAGACTTTTCCACACTTCCACACCTCTGAGAAGTATAGAACTAAGTAAAGAATGACAGTGGTTTCGTATGACCAGGGGAAAAGTGTTACATTATCCTGACTTTGTCAGACTTTTCCACACTTCCACACCTCTGAGAAATGTAGAACTAAGTAAAGAATGACAAGGGGTTCTTAACAGGGGGAAAAGTGCGACAATATCCTTACTTTGTCAGACTTTTCCACACTTCCACACCTCTGAGAAGTGTGGAACTAAGGATGAAAAAGGAAAGTAGGGATCTTGTGGCCAGCACTGGACATTTGTGCAGCATATTTGAAAAGCACGGGCGTGTCATTCATAAAAACCTCCAGGTCACTGAGGAAAACATTAAATAAATATGGACCCCCCACACTTCCTTGTGTGGTCCCCTTATTGACACATACCCAGTCACAAGAATGACCATTAACTGAAATGCGCTGTTGTCTGTTACTCAAAAAACTATGATACCCATTAATTATATAGGGGTTCAAGGGTAACTGTTTCAACTTTGCAGATAGAAGGTTATGCTTGACAGAATCAAAGGCCTTGCTGAACTCCATAGTAAAAAGTCTTACCGCTTCACAGTTACTATCCATTTGTCAGAACGCTTTTTCCAAGAGTTTTTGCTGAAAAACGTTCTCCTTCGTGCATAGTATTTAGGATTTGACTGATTTAGCTAGACAGTTTTGATTAAAAGGAAACTGATTATCATTGCGACGGAAAAGGTCTGGCCGGTCAATTCTGACAAATGGAAAGCGCCCATATTCATGAGACTGGTAAGGGACATCCTGAGATAAGAAATGAGTGGCGGATCCAAGGTAGTCTTCCCCTCCCTCCCCTCCCTCCTTACTATTAGACCAAACTAAAGCCCGAAGAGCAGCAAATAAAATTTTTGAGACCACCCCCACCCCCCTCCCCCTCCACGTATCTGAAGGTCTGGATCCGCCACCGGAAATGATCCTTTACCAACAAAACTAAAGCTTGATATAAACAGCGACCGAAAACAACAACCATAAGGAACAAAATTCTACTTAAATATTTTACTTCAAACTGATTATTTTTAGAGACTGTAGATAAGGAACCTCTAAAGCAAGGCTCGTCCTTTATAACTAAATGCTATTGATAATGCTAGAATAAACTCCGACTTACATATAAGGTTTAGCCCTTATTTTACTGCCTTACAATATTTCAATAATCTTGAAACTAAAAGGAAGGTTAATCTCAAGAATCTTAATTTTTAAAAAAAATCTATCGAGCGGTTTAAAAATTGTTCGCTAATCAGTTAAAGTCGACCAAAATGTTCAAAAACCCCTAACAAGAGCGCCTCGATACATACTAATCAAATCCTTCTTTCTAGCAATCGGCTGGAGCTATCTCCTTGATCTTCCACACCCGTTTTTAAAAAGATTGAAACTACTATGAGGCGAAATTGCATGTCAAAAGCGCTTCGTTTTCTACAGATAACAGCCGAGACTGTCCATTTTTTACCGTATTTCTATCCACAAAATCTTTATCCCAAAATATCTCGATAACGCGAGGCTGCTATTGGAGGAAAAAGCTCCCGTGAATGATTTTCGAAGAACAGTTCCCAGTGCCGAAATATACTGTTGCAAGTAAAATAGGTAATAGCGTCATTTCGTTGCTATGACAACTCCGATGCCGTTGCAACCCTCATCACAACAAATTTTCATCTTCCTCTCATACAACTGTGGTGGCAATTTTTCCAAAACTTTGTTTATGGCGACGTAGTTTATGCTCAAACTTGGGAGGTATTGGCCCTGAAAAACTGTATCGAGCCACCTTAAGGGCGACAGCAGGTAATGTGGTCCTTCACAAATGAATCCTGTTAGAATAGAAAAGAGTGAATTACCTATATTGCCTAAGGGGACTGGGTATGAATTTTTTTCACACAGAAAATTTTCCTTATGCATTAACCATATTTAAATGTCTTTTTGTACCGTCACCATAACGTTGACGAATTGCAAACATGTGAAAAAAGGAAGCGTTCAGTATAAATGGACAAAGAAGTTTCTTGCTAACAACAGCAATTAAGGGGACAACTCAGAACTCTGGCAACTGAAAGGTGTAATTGCTCAATTTAAATGAAATGAATTTGGTAACGCGAGTTTGGAAATCTTACATTGCAGAGTAGTTAGACATCTTAGCATCCTTCAAGTGGAATAAGACTAACATAGTGAAGCTCGTACATGTGACCCAGCACAAGCCGGTTGCTACCAGTGACATCATACTCTGGGCAGATTATAACGTCATGGTGATGCGGCAGACTGCTTATCACATGAACGCATGTTTCAAAGCAGTTTGCAGCACCATGGAGAATCACATGATCACCCCATGTACCATCTGCCATCATGGTTGTAAGGTAAGCATTCCAAGATGAATATCCATCAACAAAGTGGAACAGATCCGTCCCATCCGGCTGTAAGAGAAAAATGAAAAAGACGACAACGCTCATTTCTAGACGGTTCTTATTCAGGAAATGCAGTCAGCTCTCTCCACCACAGACCCTGTGGGGGGGGGGGTACTCAACGATTTTATATGGGGGAGGCTCCGCCCCGAGGTCCAACCCCTTACCCATTTATACACCATTGTTGACAGAAAAGGTTCACCTTTCGTATACCTTCTATTGACAAATGGTGCCCCTTTGACATACCTAGTTTAGAACTTTGCATCCCCTTTAAAAGGAATGCAAAGTTGAGCTGTAAATGCACCATCTTTTTTTATGAATAAATCACTAAACCAGGAAGTTTTCTTGTTTCTTTTACATCCATGAAATGCGTTTGTTAGCCCTTTTTAGTCCTTTTACAGACCCAGATGACAGATTTCCTTACCCTTTTATGTACTTACACCAATAAAGCCCCTACCCTTTCATAAACCTGAACTCTGAAAAAGGTACCCCTTTTGTGCAGAGCCTCCCCGTATAGGCCATTATAGGGAGTACTACCCTGGGCCACAGACACCGTTAGTAGTCGTACTCTAAAATACGTGTCCGCCTCATAAAGTTTCAAACAAAATAAATAAAGAACGATAAGGACCGACTCTATATGTCCATTAGCCTCTCCAAGCGTTTAATAGTGTGGATGACGCAAAAGAGAAGTGAGCGGGAAAAAAGCTGCCGTGGTGGCAAAGTTCTATATCCGTCAAGTCACAGGTCTGTTTTTTTAAACGTACGCAAAAGAAGCTTAACGGCCGAGGCGAAAAAAGGAAATGTTCCCCAGTCCGTTTCCATTTCTGCTTGGGCTTCCGTTATTTGATTTATATTGAAAAGAAACCCTCTTTATTTTCTCCCTTTTCCACTTCGGTCAACCTAAGTTGCTAGTATGAGATAAATAGCTTGACAGCTTTAAGGCACTAAAAAAAGACACTAACCAGCCTAGGGTTGTCCTTGAGATACTGGACAACAGTTCGGCGTAACTCTTCGTGGGTGATTTTAATTCCTTTGATGTGGTCAAGTTGTTCTGAAAGTGCAAAAAACATGCAGTTTCCATCCCCTTGATTGTCAGAAATCACAAAACCTTTCTCCAAAGCAATCCTCTTTAAATTCAACGACAGCTCAGTTTTGCTGGCCTCTCGACGCGCTTCCAGCTTGATTTTTTTAAGTGCAAGGAAAACCAGTTCACCTGCAAATGATAGAGAGGAAAAATCCAAAACGCGAAAGGTTATTTCACGTCAGTTTAATATAGCGTTTTCACATGACGTCATGTCGGTCATACTAGTGTTCCGAAACAACGAAACGGCGGCCATGTTTGTGTTCCAAACCAATCCTGTTGGAGTTGAACTCTTTTCTTATATAAACACTTTATTTTGTTCCAACAAATTGGCGTAGATGCTCGCCACATGAGTGAAAACGCTCTATGGGAGATAATACACTGGTTCAAACAAAAACCAACTGACCATTTTAAATTACGGTGGTTTCAACAGAACAAAATGAGAATGACTTAAATCCCACGGCTGTTTCTTTAAAACCAGCCAGCGATGATCGAATTTGGGAGACGTTTGCGATATCCAGTAAAATGACGTCAATAGTCTAGGATATCGCCAGAAAAGGGGACGGCAACTGAGAGGCCCTGGAACGAAGTTGAAGACAGAAACTTAACATTCATCGAGGTAGGCATGTTTTTCAAGTATGAACTATATTGAATGGATAATAAAACAATAATTGGATTGGGATTTCAAATGATGTGCAAAATTATGCAGATCTCGTAGGGTGTTATCCGCATCGGCCAGCATCCTCCACAATCTACAAAATTTTTCAGATCATACTCAGCGCTCATACTAAAACTGCTCATTTAAATTATAGTTACTTTACTTAGGGTAAGAATTTGATTTCTTACCATAAACCATCTTCCACATCGTGTCAACAAGGGATTTGCACTGTCTCTCCCAACTGAATCTCTCTTCATAACTTCTTCGAAGTCTTTGAATTTCTTCAAGCCGCTTTGCCCTAGATTTTTGATGGATAGTTGCTATTGCCTTTGCCCATTCCTTGGGGTCATCCGAATCAATCACAAATGACTCGCCCATCGGAAGACAACGCAGAGCTTCTCCAAATCCGGAGTTTCCACTTACCAGAATGGGAAGACCAGCTGACATGGCTTCCAGTGCTGTCAAGCCAAATCCCTCAGCTCTTGAAGGCATGATGGCCACATCAACTTCACAAAACAAATCTTTCAATCTTTGCTTGTCTTTCACGAATGATCTGACAAACAACTGGTTTCTTGAAATGCCCGTCTGGTATAAGATTTCCGCGACTTCATCCTGCTTTCCATCAGGTGCGCCAACAAAGATCAGACGGTAGGAACTGTCCTTCATTTCAACTATTGCTTGAGCGGCAATGTCGTATCCTTTGAGACTGAAGTCTTCAAAATCACCACGGCCAAAGGTTAACACCTTGAACTTCGCACTCGCTCGCGTAGCATGCTCAACATCTGAAAACTCTTTAAAGGTGCCTGGCATCAGCTGGAAGACATCGTGATGAGATGAACGCAAGTAGGACGAGAATGCTTCTCTCAACTTGGGCCCAACTGCCACAACGAGATCTGCAAGTTGGCACAGCTCAACTTCAGCTCTGTTCTTTCCTTCTCCCTTGGTAATTGCGCCAGGATAGTTCTTATACATTGCTAGCTCTTCAGGTTCGGTGTGCACTACCTGCACCCACTTGCAACAATGAGACTCTTGGATGATTTGAGCTTGTTTACCCAGCTTTGCACCATGGCCAATCACGACTTGAATGTCAAGGTCTCTTGGTGGAAAGCTCAACCAATCAAGAGGATCACTAAAGCCAGGGCGACGATGTACTTCCATAATGGAAATGTTATGAGCCTTGGCAGCTCTCTTGTCATCTTCACCGCACTCAAATTGAGGTACAATGATAGTGACTTCTACATTTGGGAGTTTTGCCAAATGTATGGCAAGCGTTCTGTTGATTGTTGACAAGCCACCCTTAGATGACCCCCACTCATCAGCCAGGAGGGAAACTTTTAAGATTGAAGGCTGTGCATGACTTTGTGGTATACCAGAAAAGGCTGAATGCAATTCCTGAAAGCAAACAAACATTGTATATTTCAAAATAGCACTTTTAGAGAGGCTGCCGACAAGAAAGAGTTTGTGCCAACATTTGTAAAACGTGATTCCATCAAATTAAAGATGATGTCAACTTAAGTAGCAAAACAAAACCATGTTGAGTGGAAAAAAGGCGCACACCGCAATACATACGGTATACGCGTTAATGAAAGGCGTTCAACGTACCTGAATATGGCGAGAATTGAATGTGTATGAGTCACCTCACCCTAAAACTAACGTAAACGCGGACACAAACCTTAACCTTAAGCTCTAACCCTCACCCTAACCCCAACTCAAACCCTAACCCTAACTCATAACGAGTTTGTTGTTGATTCTCTCCATAACCAGTTGAGTTTGTTGCTGGTTCTCTCCCTTACTCCGAGAGGGTTTTCTCCGGTACTCCGGTTTTCCTCTGTCCTTAAAAACCAACACTTCCAAATTCCAATTCGACCAGGAACGCACGGAAACGTTTCAACGAGTTCTTGTGAACTCCTAAGAGCTCCATGGGTAAACAAATTACAGTTACAATAACTCACTGACTCATGACACTGACAAAACAAGCTTTCCTGATCTCGAATATGGCATATTCTGGTGCGTTGAGATTTAACAACGAAACGCACTTGCTCGTCTTTGCTTAATTATCACGGCATTCGGATTCCTTTGCCCCAGTTCCTAATTCTTCGATTTCGTGAACGAAGAGAGAACCTGTGAAGGATACTACGGGAATTTTCCAAAAAAGGAAAAAGTTTAGCAGGAACTCTTTACAAGTAAGAAAAACGGATAAACCGAGACAAAGAGTGTTCTCGACGATTCGAAAATGCCTAAACTGGAAAAAAAAGTCTTCACAACTGTTGCCATCGTGTCATCACTACGAGAGACTCGCAGTTTTAAAAAGGTTTTCGGCCTTCAAAAACTTTTAGGACAAATTTTATGTACGTAATATAAAAAAGAAACGAAGAAGCAGAGACAAAAAGTAGCTATTGTGACTTGGAAAATGCCTTGACTGGTACAAATCCTCCAACAATCACGCGATAGGAGGCAAGCGTCACTTGAAATGGCACGATTTCAAGATTTACAACGACCACTGCAATTTGAGTAAACTTTTTCATTGCTTGGATAGGCTAATTTTCTACAAGGCTTTCAAAAAGGAGTGCATTAGAACTCTAAGTAGCAGTGCTAGCCTACGCCTAGGTTGAGCCTCAATCTACCACTATTTCCTTCGTTTTCTAAAGCATTTTTCATATTACTCATCGAATTTTAGTATCTACGGTATTTACATTATTTTATAGGCTTATGTTTTTTAATAGTTTTCTAATTATTATGGAAGATGTAGAGCTGCCCCATCTGGATAAACTGCAATAAATCATCATCATCATCATCACTATCGTCATCGTCATCGCCACACTTTACAGAAGGCTGATGTCTATAAAATTTTTTAGCCGATAGTAGTAATACTAACCGCACGTGGAATGTTCTGGATGGACAAGTGAAATTTACACAACAGACTCGTTCTTCCTGTAGGTATCGAGGTGTTATGGAACTCTACTTCTGCTAGGTCCTCGTCTTTAAGGACAAGAACTCGCAATTCAGTCTTGAACTCGTCTTCTGATAACCTGTTCAAATGTAAACCAAAGATATGCATGCTGTAATAACGGTTGCCTAACAGTAAGCTTAATAAATATAAAAGACAAAGTCCCGACTTATTCAACTTGCATTTTTTCTTTCCCAGCTGGGATGAATTCGGAATCAACTAAATAGGCAAAAAACATGCTGGTGTCCAACAGTTGCTTGCAACATGAGGCCGGTTACCTCTTAAATATTGAGAGACGTCTTCTTTACGTGTAATATTGCACCAGCGCGTGAATCAGCCATACGTTACACGTGGTATTAATAAAAAAAAACTTCAAAGAACTTGCTGCCGAAGTCAAAAGGATGCTTAACCACCTACTCGCATGATTATTCAGTTTTCATGACTTTTCAATTTGCTAAAAAACCAAATTCCAATTCAACCAGGAATCAGGTAGACGAAGAATCACTTTGCGGATGTGCTACCTCCAAATCATTATTTATTTATTTTATTCATTTTATTATTCAATTACAAAGCGGTTCTACTGGGTGGGTGGGGGGCGGTGGAAGAATTTGTGTAGCTTGAAAGATGGGATGCGCTCCTGGCCTTGTTCTTGCATGGGTATGTGATGTATAAAAAAAGCTTACCTGAGGAAAACATCATTCACGTCCTGATCATCGAATGGACATATTCCTCCTGATACAAAAACATATGCTTTGTCCTCTCCTGGTATCATATCGTGTCTCGAACTGCCATCAGCATACGTTACTTTTTTTCCTTGAAGATCGTGTATTACCGCTTTTGTAAGGTGACTATGACAACAAATAAGCCTCAAAATGTTTGGAATATCCGGACGAAAGTAAGCAACGAAACTTGCTCGTCTGGGCGGCTTCCATATGAATCTGGTCAAGTAACAAATGTACCTAATAATTCCAAGACTTTCAACACTGGAGTTTTCTGGACGCCAGTCAAGAAGATATGAATATCTGGAAGAACCAAAAATTAAAGAGTGAGAACCAGAGTAAAGGGAGTTGCTATGACCTTTTAAATGGCACAGATAAAATTTAAGCAGTGCTACGTAATCGCCGTCTGATATAACGATTAAACTACCAAAAGAAGTGCGAGTACATTTGAAAAGGGAAACTAGAAAGAGCTTATCTTAACGTGTTGAGTGAAAAAAAAGCCAGTAAGCACTTTGTTCATGAGCCGTCAACCTCTTTTCCACCACTAGAGTGAGAAGACTTGGAAAATATTGTTTGAGTTTCAATTTTGTGCAAACCACCTGAGTAATATCTATCCTGAGTAGGATAGAGCATAAGAAATAAAATTTTAAAAGAAAAACTGTCATTTTTGGCAACTTCCTGGATGCATTT